TCGCTACTACTACTACTACCACTGCTACTGCTACATCTATCGCTATTCTACTACCGCTGCAGCTGCTACTATTACTACGCCTATGACTTATACCGCTGCTACTGTTACTATTTCTCGTAGTAGTAGTAGTAGTAGTAGTAGTAGTAGTAGTAGTAGTAGTCGCAGTAGTAGTAATCGTGCGACTATTACTTGCACTATTTCTACGACTACCACTACTACTACCACGACGACGACGACGACGACGACGACGACGACGACGACGACGACGACGACTACTACTACTACTACTATTACTACTACCACTACTACTACTACTACTACTACTACTACTACTACTACTACTACTACTACTACTACTACTACTACTACTACTACTACTACTACTACTACTACTACTACTACTACTACTACTACTACTACTACTACTACTACTACTACTACTACTACTACTACTACTACTACTACTACTACTACTACTACTACTACTACTACTACTACTACTACGACGACTCTGCTGCTTCCGCGTAGCCCCCCCTCGATTTTTTGCCCGGGTCATTGTCTTTCACATGCACAGGGCCATCAGGAGCTCCTACGTGCGTGATGTAGACAACGGCTGAAACCGATCCTGGCGAAGAACCCAAGCAAATGCAGTTGTGAGTGCCGCAATTGTGAATATCTTTGTCGGTGGAGCCCCATATGGGGCCACGAAGCGATGCACGGGTTGGGGTGAACGCATGAAGGCGGTACGCACTGGGGCCGTCGGTGGAGCCGCCTATGGGTCACGAAGCGCTGTGCTGGGTGGGGGGGGACGCATGCGGGGGGTAGCACTGGGGCCTTCGGTGGAGCTCTCTATGGGGCCACGAAGCGTCGTACCTGGTTGGGGGGACGCGTGCGGGCGGTAGCATTGGAAAATTCGGTGGGGCTCTTTATGGGGCCACGCAGCGCTATACCTGGGTGGGGGGTCGCATGCGGGCGGTAGCGCTGGGACGACATTCGGTGATGCTTCGTATGGGGCCACGAAGAGCCGTACTGGGTGGGGGTGGGGGGGAGGGGGGCGCATGCGGGCGGTAGCAGTGGGGCCGTCGGTGGAGCTCCTGTTGGGGCCACGCAACGCTGTACTGGGTAGGTGGGACGCATGCGGACGGTAGCAGTGGGGCCTTCGGTGGATTTCCGTATGGGGCCACGTAACGCCGTACCTGGTTGGGGGGGCGCATGCGGGCGGTAGCGCTGGGACCTTCGGTGGATCCCCCTATGGGGCCACGAAGCGCTGTATCGGGTGTGGGGGGGGGGGGTTGACGCGTGCGGTTGGTATCAGTGGGGCCGTCGGTGGAGCTCCTTTTGGGGCCACGAAGTGCTGTGCTGGGTGGGGGGGGGGGGCGCATGCGGGCGATAAAACTAAGACCTTCGGTTGAGCTCCGTAGGGGGGGGCACGAAACGCTGTATTGGGTACGGGGGACGCGTGCGGGCGCAAGCATTGTGATTTTCGGTGGGGCCCCCTTTATGGCCACGAAACGCCGTGCTGCGTGGGGGGGGGGGCGCAAGTGGGCGGTAGCATTGGGCCCTGCGTAGCTCTCTATGGGGCCACGAGACGCTGTATTGAGTGGGGGGGACGCATGCGGGCGGTAGCACTGGGACCTTCGGTGGAGCTCCCTGTGGTGCCACGAGCCGCCGTACCTGGTTGGGGGGACGCAGGCGGGCGGTGGCGCTGGGACCTTCGATGGAACCCCTTATGGGGCCACGAAATTTGTGAGGGGTGTGCTGAAACGGGCGATGATGGTGCTGATGATGATGATGATGCTGATGCTGATAATGACGATGGTGCTGATGATGATGATGATGCTGATGCTGATGTTGGTGCTGATGTTGATGCTGATGTTGATGCTGCTGATGATGATGATGATGTTGCTGATGATGCTGATGATGACGATGATGCTGATGATTATGATGATGCTGATGATGATGATGAGGATGATGATGCTGATGCTGCTACTGATGATGAAAATGACGATGGTGATGATGATGATGATGATGATGATGAGGTTGATGATGATGATGATGATGATGATGATGATGGTGATGCTGATGATGATGATGATGATGATGATGATGATGATGATGATGATGATGATGAGAGGAGGTGGAGTGAGGGGGTAGCGGGAGGAGGAGATAACGCGGGGCGCTGTCTCTTCAAAATTGGAACCCAACACCACCGGATAGTTGGGAACATACGGTTTTACACAACGGAAACCTGAATCCGTTGTTCCAAACCTCCTTGGTTGGGGGTATTCGTTTGGAATAGAGCCCTGCGGTCTCCAGTTCTCCTCTTCCCGCCTCCTCCCGCCGCCCGTCTCCTGCTCCCCTCTTGTCCCCTCCTGCTTTGTGCGGACCTCTCCATCCCCGGGGGGGTACAATCTGCAACCCTGTCGCCACTTTCGAGGGCTGCTGGTGGGTCCTGCGGAGTTGGGCACCGCGGGGATCTGAGCGAGACCTCGCCGTCCCCGGGGGGCTGCGATCTGCGACACTGTCGCCACTTTCGAGGGCTGCTGGTGGGTCCTGCGGAGTGAGGCACCGCGGGGATCTGAGCGGGACCTCGCCGTCCCCGGGGGGTTGCGATCTGTGACACTGTCGCCACTTTCGAGGGCTGCTGGTGGGTCCTGCGGAGTGAGGCACCGCGGGGATCTGAGCGGGACCTCGCCGTCCCTGGGGGGCTGCGATCTGCGACATTGCTGCCATCTTCGAGGGCTGCAGGTGGCTCCTGCGGAGTGAGGCACCGCAGGGATCTGAGCGGGACCTCGCCGTCCCTGGGGGGCTGCCATCTGCGACATTGTCGCCACTTTCGAGGGCTGCTGATGGGTCCTGCGGAGTGAGGCACCGCATGGATCTGAGCGAGACCTCGCCGTCCCTGGGGGGATGCGATTTGCGACACTGTCGACACTTTCGAGGGCTGCTGGTGGGTCCTGCGGATTGAGGTACCGCGGGGATCTGAGCGAGACCTCGCCGTCCCCAAGGGCTGCGATCTGCGACACTGTCGCCACTTTCGAGGGCTGCCGGTGGGTCCTGCGGAATGAGGCGCCGCGGGGATCTGAGCGAGACCTCGCCGTCCCTGGGGGGCTGCGATCCGCGACACTGTCGCCACTTTCGAAGGCTGCTGGTGGGTCCTGCGGAGTGAGGCCCCGCGGGGATCTGAGCGAGACCTCGCCGTCCCTGTGGGGCTGCGATCTGCGACACTGTCGCCAATTTCGAGGGCTGCTGGTGGGTCCTGCGGAGTGAGGCACCGCGGGGATCTGAGCGGGACCTCGCCGTCCCCGGGGGGCTGCGATCCGCGACACTGTCGCCACTTTCGAGGGCTGCTGGTGGGTCCTGCGGAGTGAGGCACCGCGGGGATCTGAGCGAGACCTCACCGTCCCTGGGGGGTCCTGGAGAGCTGCTGTGGGATACTTTAGGCGCAACGGGCGCATGGCACAGCCAACGGGGGGGATTTGTTAACCAGACCATCTGCCGGGCGATGGCCATAACGTTGCGGCTACACGTATCCTGCGTGGGCTCTCAAGAGCTGTTGTGGGATACATTGGGTGCAACGGGCGCATGGCACAGCCAACGGGGGCGATTTGTTATTACGTAGCCCTTAGATCTTGATCGGGGGCGTGCGAGCCTTCCGATCGCTGCTCGCAAAATCATATGCGTCCATGTTACGTCATCGCCCCCGTTGTAGCAATCCTGGTGTACTTACGCCCCGCTTTGCGCAAGGGTTGGGTTCGTCGCCAGGGTAATTTTTGGAAAGGTGGTCCTGGGGCGTCCTCCCACCCTCCTCCCATCTCTTCTCTCTCCCATCCCCTCCTTTTGACCCTCTCTTGTGATTCCCTCCTAGGTCACAAACGTGTAGCACGGCTATGTCTCATTCGTCGTCGTGATCGTCGTCGTGCGACGACGACGACGACCTCTTCTTTCCTCGTCGTACATTCCACGTACGACTTGCCGGGGCACATCGTTCATTATCCCCCCCGTGACCCCAAATTTCGATTAATCCCCGAATGTTATTGTCCTGTGCGACCGCTGAAATCGCAAGGCTTCAGCAGACACAGGCGTAATCTCCATTTGGCCATGGTGCTAGAGAGCATTTCGTCATGACCACGAGTCCAGTCACTCCCCTCATCTTCCTGAGGGATGTGAGCCCATCAATGCTGGCCCATCAATGACGGCCTGGGACGGCCCGGAAGCGAGCTTCATGACTCCTCCTCGTCCTCCTCCTTCTCCCCCTCCTCCTCCTTCTCCTCCTCCTCCTCCTCCTCCTCCTCCTCCTCCTCCTCCTCCTCCTCCTCTCCTGCTCCTCCTCCTCCTCCTCCTCCTCCTCCTCCTCCTCCTCCTCCTCCTCCTCCTCCTCCTCCTCCTCCCCCTCCTCGTCCTCCTCCTCCTCCTCCTCCTCCCCCTCCTCGTCCTGATGGTGGGCCCATCAATGCTGGCGGGCATACTAGGAGGAGGGGGGGGGCTTTCGGCGACGCCCTGCCAGCCTGCCTGGCCCGCGACTCGCTCCCAGCAACACCCGGGACCTCGTGAGCACGCTCCGTGGTCGGTGTTCGCAGGGGGGGCCCCAGGGTGACGCCACGAGGGAGCCGAGGAGGAGGATCTCCGGAGGCTCGGATCGGGAAGAGGTCGACCCGAAGAGTTTACGAGGCAGCAAGGAGTGGCAAACGGAGGAGGAGGCTGAGGACTCTGGCCAGGAGGTGGAACATGAGGAGGAGGGGTGGAGGGTACTCAAGATTTCGTAATAAAGGGAGGGGGGTCTCATTTCGGGGGGGGTCTCTTCCAGGCTATCTTGGAGGGCCTGGGGGGTCTGGGGACTATGCTTTGGAGGGTTCTCCCACGGGGGAGGTCTGAAATGCCTTGTCTTGGAGGGTCCAGACCCCCTCCCTTTTATTACGAAATCTGGGGTAGGCCGGGGAGATGAACGGCTCGACACCGTCGGGATGGCCAGGGCCCCGGGCCTCTCCCGCTCCCTGCAGGAGGAGAGGGACATCAGGAAATCCGAGGAGGTGATCCAGAAGGATCGGCGGATCTCCCCTCGAGGGGAGGCGTCGGGGGTGGACAGAACCCCCAACAGTGACACGTCGATTAGTGAATTGTCCGTTTTCGGTTCTCGAGAGGGCGCCGCGGCCGTTATTTTCCAGGTTTGCGCCCGCCAGGAATGGGCCCGAGGTCGTTTTCACTAAACCACGTTTTACTAAAGGGAGGTCTGTCCATCCCCGAAGGCGTTCAGAGGAGGAAATGGTACACATGCCGCTACTTTTCTCTGCTTTCGCCTTTTTGGGCCTCCTGGCAGGCCCCGGACGCAACGGCTGGATTCGCCTGGGAATTCTGGTCCCAACGCGCCCTGGGAGAGGTCCAGGGAGTAGCGGTATCGGTGCATTTTGGTTTCCCCAATTGCATTATTTGCTGCCTACTCACGCAGGGTGTGCGGCACTTAGAGGGGAGAGGGGGTGGGCGTGGGGATGGGATAGTACGTACAGGGAGTGCAGCCATCGCGTGGCGATGCCAAAACAACCACCACTCAAGCAGAAGCTCGGAGCGGTGTGGACGAGGTGGTGGGGAGGGTGCGGGAGAGCTGGGGAGGAGAGCAGCAGAGGGGAAGGGGGGAAAACAGGGGAAGAGGAGGGGATGGGGGAGGGGGAGCAGAGCGGGAGGGGCGGCATGGAGCCTGGGTACGCGCACGCCCGTGCCCGCGGGGCACCCTGCCGAGGTCAAAGCAGCCCTCCTGCCGCCCGTCTCCGCGGAAGTGAGTGCTGCGGGCCAGCGTTTTTTTATGGCAGCGTGCTCCTCTCGGCCAGGCCCGGGGCCAGGACCTGGGGCCCAGAGCCGTTGTGCTTCCCGCTCTCGCGTCTGCGACCAGCGCCGGCGTCGGACACGCATGTCGGCCGCACGCGCCTGGTCTGCACACTTTTTCACGTCGGCGGCCAGGCCGAGTGACTGCGCTGGCGGAAGAGCACTGGTAGGGCATACGAATGCGAATTAAGCCGATGGTCTGCACACACACGCTCATCCCAGACGCTTGCTGTCTCGGACGCCGACGTCGTGCCCGACCGTGGCAAGCTCGGCGTCCCTGGCATCGACTCCCTCTGAGCCCAAATCTGGTTTCGAGGCCTGCTTCCAGCAAACCCCTCTTGGCCGCGCCGCCGCGCCTGGGCTGATCCACCCGGCGCTCTGCCTGACCGCGGCGCTGCATGCTGCCGGACCCCGTGGGCCCCGAGCAGTGCGTTCCAGCGCTCCCGCTCGTGCCGGCTGCGCGGCGCGAGCCGCACTCGGGACCGCCCGCGGGGCACCGGCCCACGCGGCGTCGGGACAACGCGACGCACCGGCAGGCGATGGCCGTCGCCGGCCCCCGGGCACCGCAGGGCACCGGGCGGCGGGGGAGCCGACGCGCAAACGGTCGAGCGAGCCGCCGAGGGAGCCACGAGCACCGGCCACGGGGCACCCATGCACGCGCAGGGTGCACGCCACGGAGCACCGACGCGTCGGCCACGAGGCGCCCACCGCGGGGCACCACCGCACATGGCACCACCAAACATGGGGCATCAGCGCAGAAGAGATCTTCGCGCCACATGCCGACTGCGTCGCCAAGAGAGCAATACACAAGGGCGCCCTCGAGGGCGCGAAGTTATTCGCGCTTCGCGGTACGGCTCCGATTCCTCATCATCCTCCTCTTCTCCCCTTGGAGGCGGCGCGAGAGCGCGAAGTTGTTCGCACTTCGCGCTTCGCGCAGCGCGAAGCGCGAAGATGGGAGCCTTTGAATACAGAACCAACCTCGGCGCACCACTGCGTATGGCACTGCATGGGGCATCGACGGGTCAACGGCCGACTGTTCGGTGCAGGACACCAGAGAGCACCAACCATCGGGCCACAGGGCACAGGGCACTCTGCATGACTGGTCAGCGCGTCAATGGTAGGCTGGGCCACAGGGCATAGGGCACCTATGCGTGACGCACCAGCGCGTCAACGGCCGACTGCGACGCACAATGACAGTGTCATGGGCACAGAGCAAGGACCCAGACATCCAAGCATTTTCTGGGAAACACATGTTTTCTCTGACCGAAGTCCATACGAAGCAACACGCAGTCCTATCTAGTTGGTGGCTCAACTTTCTAAGTACCAAGTACCCCAGCGCATCACTAAACCAGACAGCATACTTCGCATGATGTTGATGAATATGATGATGCTGATGACGATTATCACGATGATGTTGATGATGATGACGATACTGACGATGCTGATTGTGATGGCGATGATGATGCTGATGCTGATGATGCTGAAGAAGATGATGATTATCATGGTGCTGCTGATGATTATGATGATGCTGCTGCTGATGATGATGCTGATGATGACGATGCGGATGATGATGAGGAGGAGTAGGAGGATGAGGATGATCATGATGATGACGATGAGGCTGAAGGGAGGAGGATGAGTAGGGGGAGGAGGATGAAGAGGATGATAGTAGAGGAGGAAGCGGATAGCCGTCACATGAGACAGTTTTCGCGTTTTGTCATTTGAGGAGCTCTTTTGGAACTCGTGTTGGCCGTCTTAGGGCTGCCCTGGCCTCCGATGAGACAATCTCGGGGGTCCCTTGGGCCGTCTTGGGGCCATCTCAGGCCGCCTTGGGGCTCTGTTGGACTGTCTGAAAGCCTCCTTGGCCCCAAAACAGCCAATTGGGGCCGTGTTGGGACCATTCTGGGTCGTCTTTGAGGCATCTCGGCTCCTAGAGCTTGAATCCGTCACATTGTTTTGTCCCCTCGAGACCGCGACTCTGCCATCTTTGCCTGAGGGTTGTGGCCTAGGGAGCGCGACCTCACCTTGTCGCATGCTACGAAGGACTGTAGCCGAGGGGGTGCGACTTGGCCGCATTTTGCATGGGATGAGGGGGCGGCGCGCGCAACCCAGCGTGTTGAGAGTGCGGGGGGGGGTCCTTGGAAGATTACAGAGTCCCCACCAGACAGCACTTCATTCTGGTACGCCTAAACGTAACACGAGGCACGGTGGCGGATATGTACGTGTTGTCTTTGAGTCTCTGGTGTTTTGTTCCCAACCATCCTGTGGTGCTGGGTCCTCGTTTTGAAGGGACGGTCCCCGCGTTCCTCCTCCTCCTCCTCCTCCCTCTCCTCTCCTCCTCCTCTCCTCCTCCTCCTCCCCATCCTCCTCCTTCCTCCCCCTCCTCCCTGCGTTTCACCCACCCAGCACAGCGTTTCGTAGCCCCATAGGGAGCTCCACCGAAGGTTCCAAGACTACCGTCCGCATGCGCCCCCTCCACCGTGTCCACCCAGTACAGCGTTTCGTGGCCCTCCTCCCACCCAGTACAGCGCTTCGTGGCCCCATAGGGAGCTCCACCGAAGGTTCCAGGTCTACCGTCCGCATGCGTCCCCTCCACCAAGTACAGCGTTTCGTGGCCCTCCTCCCCCTCCTCCCTGCGTTTCACCAACCCAGTACAGCGTTTCGTTGCCCCATAGGGAGCTCCACCGAAGGTTCCAGGTCTATCGTCCGCATGCGTCCCCCCCACCCAGTACAACGTTTCGTGGCCGTCCTCCCCCTCCTCCCTGCGTTTCACCCACCCAGTACAGCGTTTCGTGGCCCCATGGGTAGCTCCACCGAAGGTTCCAGGTCTACCGTCCGCATGCGTCCCCTCCACCAAGTACAGCGTTTCGTGGCCCTCCTCCCCCTCCCCCCTGCGTTTCACTCACCCAGTGCAGCGTTTCGTTGCCCCATAGGGAGCTCCACTGAAGGTTCCAGCTCTACCGTCCGCATGCGTCCCCTCCACCAAGTACAGCGTTTCGTGGCCCTGCTCCCCCTCCTCCCTGCGTTTCACCTACCCAGTACAACGCTTCGTGGCCCCATAGGGAGCTCCACCGAAGGTCCCATTGGCACCGCCCGCATGCGCTGGCCACCGCCCAGCACAGCCCTTGCTCCCTGCGCTTCGCCCACCAAGTACAGCGCTTCGTGGCCCCATAGGGGGCTCCACCGAAGCTCCAAGTGGCACCGCCCGCATGCGCCAGCCACCACCCAGCACAGCCCTTGCTCCCTGCGTTTCACCCACCCAGTACAGCGTTTCGTGGCCCCATAAAGGGGGCTCTTGCGAAGGTCCCAGTGGCATCGCCCGCATGCGTCCGCCACCACCCAGCACAGCCCTTGTTCCCTGCGTTTCACCCACCCAGTGCAGCGTTCCGTGGCCCCATAGGGAGCTCCACCGAAGGTCTCAGTGGCACCGCCCCCATGCGTCAGCCACCACCCAGCACAGCCCTTGTTCCCTGCGTTTCACCCACCAAGTACAGCGCTTCGTGGCCCCATAGGGAGCTCCACCGAAGAAGATATTCATACTTGCGGTATTCACACCTGCATATGGTTGGGTCCTTCGCCAGGCTAATTTTGTCTGTTGGCGGTGTCAACAACTGCCTACACGTATGTGTTCCAGATGAAAGTGCACATCGACATGTACTAATGGGTAGAGGTGCATGTAATAATGGGTAGAGGTGCATTGTCGCATCGGATGGGTCGTCTATGAAGCCGCTGGGGGAACGAGGATACCGACGCAATGCGAGGTGAGAAGAACATAATGGCACTTGTGGGATCGGGCCTCGCGCAGGAGTTAGAGAAGAAAAGGAATAGTTGGGACATCTTCGCCGTAGCGAAGCTTCTGAACGAGGACAGCATCATGAAGCAGGACCCTTTCCCTATTATGCACATTGTCGGCCCCAGTGTGTCTGCTCATTTTCTCCTCCGAGCCCAGAACTCCACCGATTCGTTGATTCCGAGTCGCCGGCCCCTAGAGCCCTCGTCACCTTCTCCCATGCCCGCCTTCTCAGGGCGGCGCGCCGCTGGAGAAAGTGAGAGGGGGCAGGCCTCGTGAGAAGGCGGCGGGGCTTCTCAGAAGCCCGCCGCCTTCTCGATAGTTCCTCTGCGGCTCCGGAGAGGGCTCGGAGAGCTGCTCAGGAAGCCGGAGGCCTTCTGGGCCTCCTGGGGAGGCTCGCCCCCTCTGCCTTCCCCCCCCGGGCGCGCCGCCGATGTTCGGCGAGAATCGGAGGCGTGGCCAGAGGGTGGGAACTTTGATGGGCCTGTCTTCCATCACCACCACCACCATAAGTTGGAGTGGGGAAGGAGGTGGAGGAGGAGGAGGAGGAGAAGGAGGACCCCCTTCCCCGTCCTGCGTATGGTGGTGGTGGTGGAAAACAGGCCCACCAAACTTTGCACCTCGGGCTCACCCGAGCCGTTTTCTTTGAGCCGCCGAGCCTGGAAGTGGCTACGAGTCAGCGTCGTCTAACCGATCCCCATGCCCACCAGGCCACAGTATCGCAGCGCCACCATACCCCCCGCGTTGCGCAGCAGTTGTCGTGTGATGTCGTGTTTTCCGGACACGGCCCTACCCTGTGACGCCTATCAGCGACCTTGCGCGTGGCGGAGAGCGGCAATCAGGCAGGCTTTGATCAATACCGAATGTTTCAAGCAACGTGTTCCACGCATGCATCTGCAACCCGACACGTCTTCTGAGATTGCGATTATAGCACCGTATTCGAGGTATTCTGGTCTAGTTTCAAATCTGGACTTGCTAGAAATCCAACCGTGGTCTTTGGTAAGCATACTGGAGATGACCATTGGGCATCACGTACATGCAAACGCAGGGACAAGCACTGGAAAAGTGTCGCAACCCAAAATCTTACCATACAGAGCGTGCTCAGAGCAGATCGTTACACGTAGCGAGTGGGAAATAGTTCCAGAAGTGCCGGAGGAGTTTCGAAGTGGGCGTTTGATTGAGTTAGGCGGCGAAGCATCTATTCTGTTTGTTTTGCGTGCTTCTATGTAGATTCAGGAAGTGTACAGGGGGTTCATTGTGCGAAGGCGCTTCACATCAAGTGAATTGTACCAGTCAGTTTCAAAAACCATGCTTGGATATTCAAGCCCAGATGCCCGAATGGGAAGCGGCGGAGTTTGAGCGTGGAAGACTACAAGCTGCCAGCTCTTGCGCAACACGATTGCGACAAGTGTGGAAGAGACATGTGTGGGGATAGGCCACGCGATGCCCGGGTTAAGCAGCATATTTCCCTTATTTGGGGGGATGAATCGGCCGGCTGGCCCAAGGCCACGCCAGTGGGGACAGGGATCGGCTCAACAAGGCGCAGCAAGGAGGAGGCAGGCAAAGAGAGCGGGGCAGGGCACGGCAACGGGCCGTGGCTGCTCGGTTTCGCGCCCTCTCCGTCGCGGCTTTTGGAGCTCGTGCAGAAGACGATCGGCGGCATTGATGAGGTTGGAGAGCGGGTCAAGGAGGAGGACGAGGAGTAAAGGCAGGAGGGGGAAAAGGGGGAGGAGGTGGCATGGCGGTCCCTCTCTCCTCTCCTCCCTCTCTTGAAACGGAAGCGTCGGGCACCGGGTGGTGCCATGGGGGCCCGGGACCACGGCGGTCGGCGCGCACGCCCGGGAAGCGCGGAGGCGCGCTGCGGTGAAGCGGAGGATGTGAGGCAAGGCGAGATCGGGTGAGGGGAGATGGCGTGAGGTACTCGGCATCGCTCGGGCGTGTGCATGTTTTCTTCGGCGAGGGCCATCGAGTTGCATCCTTGATCATTTGGCGAAACAGCCACGCACGAAACCGAAAAAAGCACAGGGAATGGACGTCCGAGCGATGGCCAGGGCAAGGTAGGGTGCTGCCGAGGCCTGAAACAGGTCCAAGAGACGACCGACTGCGAGGCGGCTCGGCTACGGCCTGACCGGACGAACAAGTGCTGGGCTGCTACAGGCTAGCGATGGGGGGTGGGCCGCGTGGCTTGTTCACATGGGCGCCCGATCTCCCGCCTGCGCTCCCGCACAGCGCTAACTACAGACAAGCACGCTCACACAAAGCCGCCCTCGATGAGCGCGACCCCGTGGTCGATGACGTCGTCGAGGTTGGCTCTGAAGGCGGCCAGCACGGCGCCCGGCAGGCGCCGTCGCTCTGTGTTTGCCCAGTCCTGCAAATGCGGCTTGCCAGCCAGGCCTTCTGACGTAGGTTCCCGTCGTCGGCACGCGTGCTGCCGCTCACCACCGTGTGCTGCCGCAGCAACGCAAGCCCACCGATCCAGCCGCCCGCACCGAGAGATGGGAAGCGGAGGCCAGATCGTTGCTGTGGTTTGTGGGGCAGGTGCTGCTACGGTGAGGTAAGGCCTGTTACTCTACAGGAGGAATGTTCAAAAATAGTTTTAAAAACGTCTCGGGGTTTGTTTGATCATTTGTGTATCTGTTTTTTGGTATTGTTTGAGTATGTTTTATTTTTCGTCCAAAATCCCCCTGTAGGGGGACAGGCCCGACCTACTGCTACGGTGCCTGGGCCTTACATTGCACACCCTGCAGGGGGCGGCGGTTGGAGGAGCCTCGCCCCGTCCCTGGGCAGGCAGGGCCTCCTCCCCAGCACCCCCCCCGAGCGCGCCCCGCGGCGCGGGCGAGGAGGTGGAGGAGGAGGAGGAGGAGGAGGAGGAGGAGGAGGAGGAGGAGGAGGAGGAGGAGGAGGAAGAGGAGGAGGAGGCGGAGGCGGGGAATGAAAGCAAGGATGGGGGCAGCTCATGGCCCCGGTGGGTGCGCAGGGCCGCCAGAGAGCAGCGAGAAGCGAGGAGGGGCAGCAGGAGATGCCGCGCACCTCTCCTGCTGCAGAGCGTCCCGCCCTCCTTCGGGGGGAACCCACTTTGGCTTTGACCACCAGAAACAATTTGGAGCACCAGAAGAGAAGTACCGAAACTCGAGGGTTTTCGCGTGCCGGGCCCTGGGAGACACTCGTCCGACACTGTTTCGACATTCTTTCGACCCTTTTCTGGGGGCTCGAAATTATTTCTGGGATGTGGTCCGTAAGTACGATGGGAGCACCATAACCCATATTGAAGTTCGGGTGCCTGGCATCAGGGGCCCGGCCAGTCCTTGCCGACGACGGCGCCCTCGTGCCAGGCGGCAGGCGCCAACGCACCCTTCCTGCGCTCCCCCGCGAGCAGCGCAGGGCCAGCAGTGCCGGACACGTCCCAGGCGCGATTCTCTTGGCATCGCTCGGACGTGTGCATTTTTCCTTCGGTGAGGGCCATCGAGTTGCATCCTTAATCGTTTGGCGAAAAAACCACGCACGGAACCAAAAAAACACAGGGAATGGACGTCCGAGCGATGGCGAGTTCTTTGTTGAGCCGCCGGAAGCGTTGGAGGACGGCGGCAGTGGGGCAGGACTCCGCTCCTCCTGCGGCCCCTCGTCGGCTCACCATCGGCGCAGGGCTTGTCGGCCGCGCTCGTCGTCCTCGCCCCGAGTGGTCGGCACGACTGGGCGCGCCCGTGCCCAGGCACAGGGCTGAGCCTTTCCATCCCAGGGTTGGGGGTGTTGAGGTGGAGGTGTGGAGGTGCGGGGGGCCCCCCGCTCCGTAAGGGTGGTATCTTTGCCTAGGTGGCTTCTGTGTTGTCCTGCTTTATCGTACCCTTCCACTGCCCCTCTCTCTCTCTTTCTCCCTCTCCCTCTCTCTCTGTCTCCCTCTCTCTCTCTCTCTCTCCCTCTCTCTCTCTCTATCGCTCTCTTCCGAATTGGATTCTAATCAGATTCCAGGATTCCAATAGACATGCGACGATTCCGTACCAATTGGACTCATATTGGAATTTAATTGGATTCGAATAGGATTTCAGTAGGAAGAGAGCGGATCCCAGATCCACCTGATCTCGATGTGGATTCTAATGACATCCCAATTTGATTTTAATAAACAAAGGGAAGGGCACCGCATCCAGAGGATTTCTATTGGAACCTAATGGGATTATAATAAGATTGCAATAGAAAGAGAGAGGATCCCAGACCCAGAGGATTTCTAACTTGATTCTAACTAGACTCCAATTGGATTTCAAAAAAAAGGGACGGAGCCCGTCTCCGGAGGATTGGATTCAAATCTTGTTATTGAGAAATACATGAAAACGTTGTGTGTTCCAGCATTCTTAGTCTGAATCAATACAAAACCCTGTGTGTATTTCAAATGTTTTAATGGTCAACAAATGAAGACGTTATTTTTTTTACATCGCTTCCGTGAAGACTATAATCAGATCAATAGAAACGCAATGTGTTCCAACTTTTGAAAGTAAACAATCATAATAACACTGTGTTTCCCATCTTTCCAATCAAAAACCAAGAAACAAAGGGTATGTTTCTATCTTTCTATGCAGAAGTAATTTATAAAAAAAACGCTGTGTCTCCAATCTTTTCATTAAAAACAATGAAAACGTTGTGTTTCCCAGGTGTTTCAATTAACATTAAGATAATATATACAGATATATATATATATATACAAGTGGCACGTGTGTGCCCAGGCTCATACAACAAGCTGAAGGAGCGTTTGAAGCAGGAGTGACATGCAACAGCGAAGTCGCACTCGAGCGCAAGTGGGGTTGCCACACCTCGCGATGTGTGTACCAGGGCCCCCCAGGAAGCCTCAGGAGGCCCGACTTGGATACCAGGAGAGGCTCCAGGAGGCCCCAGGATTGTGAGTGTTGTGTGTGTGTGTGTGATGTGTGCTTTGTGTGGTGCGTGCTTTTTGCGTGTTGTCGGTGTTGTGTGTGTATGTTATGTTTGTCTAGCGTGTGATGTGTTGGGCGTGATTTGTGTCTCTGTGTGTGCATG